GCCAAAAGCCAGTTTTTGGCAGGAGGTTTGAAAGAAGTCTCACCCTGTGCAGCTACCCCGCGCTGGGTGGTGTGACTGCAGTGGGACAAAGGCTGAGAATACGGAGAGTATGTGACAGGAGCCCTCTGAGCCTCCCACAGAAGACATTGTGTCCCTGTAACCCCCCAAGAGATAGAGAGGCTGGTGTAGAGGTACTGACTGCCCCAGGCACTGAGTGCCTGTCCCTAGGGTGTCTGAGAAGTGACAGTCTCTAAGCCCTCTGGATGCCCTTAGCCTAAATGAGAACTGAGAAATAGATTGCAGCTGCATCAGGTATGTGGCCTGAAAAGGACTAAACTGGACACATGGAGAAGCTGTGGAGACTCCTGCCACTTGCAGCATTAGGGATGAAACCCCAGGACAAACATGTTCACCCCATGTTCTTCATCCCTGCCTGTCCCTGCTGCCAGAGTGGGCAGGGATGAGGCACCACTTGTGTCAGGGGAAGTGGGACCAGGTGGGAAGCACCAGGGTCTGGCACAGATGTATCTTGGGGGCCATGAATTCAGAGCTGGAAGTCTGCTTAGGAGAGTTCTGTCTGTCTTGATGTCTGTGGTGCTCTGCACAGAATGCAGGAAAGCTGAAACTGTGTGTGACCATCAGGCTGAGCTATGATACAGCCTTCGCTGCTGCTTTGATGACTGTTTTAAACTTGTTTGTGTTCTCTTTCGAGGCCAGCCACTCTAATTCCTTTAGCAAAGCTTTCATCCGGCTTGGAGTTTTTGTCAAGTTAGATTCCCAGCAGGATAGGTAAATTTGGAATAGAAGCTTTTTGTTCTTTTTCCAAATTGCTCTGAAGATTTGATTAAGTTCTGTTTGTCATGACCATAGTTAGGTCACCAGGGGAGTTCCAGTTGCACATCTTGCTGAGGAGGAATGGGTGGGGGCTCTGAGACCTGGCAGAAGTTCATGCATCTCTCCATCTCACTGCACTTTTCTGCCTTCCTAAAGAATTGAACTGTAAGTACTGCTCAAATTTAACACACTAAAGTCAATTAGCAGGAGAAAAAAACCCAACAACTGTATAGATGCAACCCCACAAATGAGGTATAACTATTGCATTACTCTTCCCTTTGCAGTTTTCTTGTCTCTCAGTCATTTCTTTAACTTTGTTTGTTTATTTGTGCAACTGTGTAAATGAACTCTTCTCCTAGGTCATCACATACCCTCCACAACTGGTGACACTGAGTCGGGTTTATTGTCAGAAACACCCTAGTGAGTGCTGGCTTGGAATGGGGCAGCTTCCTCCTCATCTGTAATGGTTCCTGGGCAACTGCATGAGCTGACATGGTTCTTTTAGCTGGGGATTATGAATGGGGGACATTGTGGTGGATGGGAGGATATTAAATGCTTTCTGTTTCTACAGGGGGTTTAAACCAGCCACAGAAAACAGTTCTGTGGATGTTTACCATGAGGGATTTCAGGTGTAATTGCAGCTTTGTTTACAAGGTGGTGGTAGCTTCAGGCATCTGGAAATCTGGCCTGAATTGAGGCAACAACAAGAGAAGTCTGGCTTTGAGAGGTATGCCTCACCTGGGCTGAGATCGCCCAAGGGAAGGGACCTTAACAGGTCAGAGCTCTTTTAAAATACTCTATAAGCATTATCTGTAGTTTTCCTGGGAGTGAATATTCCCCAAAACAATCCTCACAGAGCTAGCCATAACCACGTAAAACCTGTGCCATCACTCACTGAATCTGGCACATTTTCACCAGTAACTGGTGTGTAGTGAATGGGATCTGAAGTGGTGAGTTGAGCTGTGCTATTTTTAAAATCCTCCTGCCCCCTGAGACTTCAGTCCACCAGCCACGGTCCAGAGAAAGGAGTTTCTATACAGCAAGGACTAGGGATAAAACGAGGCTCTTTTCTGGTGGGACAGAGTCCCAGCTTTAATCAGAAGATGTCCAGGGCAGGAAAAGAGGAAGAATCATGTCCTGTGTTGGCTTTTGAACCGAGGGAGAAGGGGTTAGTGAGAACAGGTTACAAGCAATAGGAAAAAACTACAAGGGAGGAACTAGGGGGGGAAGGAACTAAGACGCTATAGATCTGGGGAGAGCCCCAGAAATATACCATGTATCTTAACACAATGCAACAGTGCTGCAGTTGGAATAAACTCGTGTTGTATACACAGTCCAAACAGGCAGGCACACAGGTGAGATGTCATCCCCTCTAAAACTCACTGGGAAAAATAATTGTTCCTGTCACTGCTGTGCGTGGGGAGTGTTCATCTCGTCACTCATTACTTATCCAGGCAGGGAGGGGAAAGGTGATAAAGCTTCCAGCCCTGTTCTGTGAGGAAAAAAAGAAAATTTGTGTTATTCTCACTATCCAAAAAGCTCCTTTTGTAACAAGAATGGTCCTGTGCAAACACAGCTCCTTCCTGTACCTGGCAGCTCATTCTTTGGGGTAGGAAGCTCCATCCTGGGTGATAGCAGGAATGCTAAAGGTAAGTGACATTTTTAACCTGTTAAAGCCAAGACAGAAGTATTTGTTCCTTCATGGTAACTACAATGCTGGAAGAGATGTGTGGGAGGGAGCTGTGCTGCCAGAGAGAAGCAGCTGTGTTTCCTGGGAGTGCAGGCAGGCTCCAGGGGAACTGTTCCCATCCCAGTGTGGCATCTTGCACCCTGACCGGGAACATGGAGCCCTGAAGGGCCTTCCAGCACTGCCTTTTTCTTTTAGAATTAACCCCTGTTAATGCATACTTTTGAATGTTGATTTTAGAGATATGCAGAGATTTTGAAAAGCAAGTTTGTTCATGGGTTTCAACATGTCATCCAGCTATAGGCAATAACTACATACATAGGCTCAAAGCTGTGGGGGGAAAAATGAGGTTACAATTGTTGTGGTGTAAAGTTACAGCATGTTAATTACTGTATGTAGAACTCTGCTGCTGGCATTTCCACAGGTAAATGCAGCTCGTGACAATGCTTGAGATAGGGCAAAGGGATGGGAGGGAAGCAGAGTCCATCACACAGCCCAGTTTTCTGCAGGGATTGGTGTGGGCATCACCTTTCAGCTGGGCTATTCCAGGGCCACAGAGAACAGGCAGACCAAGCTTATGTTTTATTTAGTGGAAAACGTGCTTCCATTCAAAAGCCAGGCAGTCAACTCACAGCCTGTGAGAAAAAAGGAAGGTACTGCTCAGAAGGAGGGAAGAGTCCTACCATTAAATGAAAACCTTCCCTGTGGTAGCATAAATAAATACCATGTCCCAAGCACGCCTGACCTCTGAGTATGTGGGGGCCTCACAAACCTCATGTGGTCTAAACCAGGCTCCTGAGTCCTGCTCCTGCAGCATTCCAGGCAGAGCCCTCCCTCAGCACAACATCCACAGCTTCAGGTAGCTTTGACCTGGCTCATGGGAATTCTGTGGCTTTCATTGCTGGTTCAAGTCATGTCTGTTCACACAGGTTATTTGTACTAAGTCTCCATTACTGGATGTTACTGGGACACTTGGGCACTTCCTTTGTGGTTTAAAGAGCAGCATGACTTTCTCCCTGCACAGAACTCACTGTGTTCTCAGAGCTCACTCGGGCAAATGTAACACTTGAAAAAGTGTGAACAGCTGCTCAGCACATCAGTCCTGCATGGTTCACATTCAGGAATTCCTCTCCTACAAGATAAGACAATGAGGAAGGGGAGAAGGCCAGAAACTTTCTTCTTGCACTGATGAGCTCTGCTATTCCACAACATGCGGGTCTCCTTCCTCCTGTCCCAACTCTGTCTCCAAGTTTTTTATCCCATGTCATTACATGAGACACCTGCTCAGTATTTAGCCTGTGCCTGTCCATATGAAACCCGCTCCTGTTCTGTGACAGGATGGCAGGTGTGGTGCTGTTACCCATCCCATACAGGCTGGATAATACCCTCAAGCTAGGGTAGCAATCACCTAAAAATGCCTTTTTGTTTAAAACAAAACCTGCACTAATTTTAATGTGTAAAGCTGGTTTTTAAAAGTGCAAGAGTGGTTTAATCTGACCTTTGTGAAACCACTTTGCTGTGAAGATTAAGCAATTTTTAAGAAATGTGGTTATAGTGGTGGAGAGGAATTATTAAAGGCATTTTATATTGGCTAGTCTGGTAAGACAGAATAAATTTTAAAAACCCTGACCAGCACTGGTTGGTGAGAGTCCAAGACAATGGTGATTGTAAACAAGAAGTGATTTCCCACATTTAATAGGAACTGTGATTGAGTCTGTAATGGTTTAACCAGGACAAAGCACAGATCCCAGACCCCTGGATTACAAGGTAAGGCCTTAAGGGAAACTGGAGGTTTGATTCAAGTTTCTCACTGCTAAATCAAAACCTTGGTTCCTTCTGAGATCTCCTGCAGAGGCAGCAGTGGGGGCTGTTCATTCCTCAACAGCAGCTCCTGTTCAGGCTCCCATGGGCTGAGCCAGATTGACTCTAATGAGAGAACAATGGTGTGAGTTGGATGAAAGGCTCAATCTGTCAAACTTCATCATGGCTATTTTAAAAATAAATTCAAGCAGTTGGTTCTCCACAACGTTTGTAGCTACTTGCCAACTGGATCCCTGGGTGGAAGGACTGTGACTGAGTCCCTCCTCTCCCCAGTTTTCTGTCTTTACATAATCTTAAAACTGAGGGGTAGCACATACTGCTTAGTAAGGACATAAAAAATAAGACTGATAACAGCTGTCTTATCCTCTGAGAAGCACAGTGACACTTGCCCTGTTGTTTTGGCTGTTGTGTTTGCTGGGACCTGCTGGTTCTGCAGGTACTGCTTCCAAGGCAATTATTCTCCACTAGTCCTTTATGGTTGGCTGTAAGGGAGGACAGGCAGCTCTGTTGTGGGCATGAGCCTCCTGTGTTCATCCTCCCAGCACTCACTTCCCCACCCTCACTGTGCAGGTGTCTGAATCACAGTACTCTTGAGTCTCAATGGTTTGATCAGGAATTTGGGCTTTATTTGGTGTGAAAGGTGCTGAAATAGGCTGGCTTACAGCAACCCTCTACCTCCCCTGATGGGAACTCTTCCTTTCAGAAGGGTGATGGCAGGGTAGCCTTGTCTTGGGATGGCCCTGCACAGCTTGGCTATGGGAGAGAAAATAAAAACAGTATTGGGTGGCTGCAAGCACATTAACTCTTGATCCACAAGCTCTTTGCAGTGGATGAATTCGGTGCTGTTCACCTGTAAAGAAAGATGCAGATTTAAGTTCTTCTTCTTTTGCAAATAAATTACTCCCTTGTCTGGCCACTGCTCCTGTTAGTTTGGAATTGGGGGTTGGGGTGCAGGGACAGGCTGCATGCCTCAGTAGATAGATAGCAGCAATATGCTGTTGATCCTGATTGAAAACAGCTCCTGATAACTACTCCTGTAACTACTACTACTCCTCCTACTACACAGAACATGGGCAAGTGCTTCCTCTTGGCAGGAAACAACAGACAGCAGGAGGCCAGGTTATTCAGACAATTTCAAGACCTTAAAATTGGTGGATGGCAAGCTAACAGCCTGGGTCTTTAGCCTTCTAAGTGTGCTCTCTTAAAAGGCATGTGTTTTATAAAACTGGGGAAAAGCTTAAAAAAAAAGAAAGAAAAAACAGAGCTTGTCTGGAATCATTAGAAGTCAAACTGTTTATATTCTTAGAGCAATGTGACTGTACTTTAAAGTTTTCTCAGTGTTCAGTGTGAGGCTGAGGAAACTGGGCAGATCTGTAGGTGCTCTCAGACTCTCCCATCATGAGAGAATGTCTCCTGGCTCAGGATGCAGGGTGCTGTCTTTGGCCAAGAATTTAGAACCCTCCCTTCCCTGCCACAGGAATGTCCCTCTCCCCAGTCCCACCCCAGAACTGCACTTTGTTCCCTTTTGTTAGCACCAGCAAGGTCAGCAGCAAAGGCAGGACAAAGACACAGGTCTCAGGAGCTGCTGAAGTGCAATACTGGCTGTAAATACACATGGCTTTATTCATTTATCATGTCCTGCCTTCAGGATTTGTGACCAAAGGCCATTTTGCTTCCTACCTGTGCTTTTTTTAGCAGATCAGTAATAACAGGAAACCAACCAGGAGTCTGCCTCTCCAGTTCCAAAGTGATGATCACCAAAACCAACGTGGAGCCCTTAAACTGCACGAGTTGGTGGCAGGCCATACAGTGCTGCAGCTGCTTGGTCAAGAGTGCAACGTGGAGGGAAGGATTCCTCTAAGGCAGTCTGGGTGGGAGATGGGGCCAGCTGGACATCACCATGGCATGGAACTGCAGAGAAGATAAAGTGTACATATATATATACACACACATATATATATGAAAAGAAAAGCAGAGGTCAGTGAAGTTTATATGTATGTTTTCATGTCATCACCCAGAGGTACAGATGAATTTCATCTCATATCAGGAAATTTCAAGGCTTCCCCCACCTTTTTTTTTTGTGTTTGTACTTGCCAATCATTGAACTGGTTTTTTGAGCTGATAATGAATGTATGAGGTCTGTGTTTCCTAACAATTTCTGAGATTTCTACATTATCCAGATTGCTGTCCAGGTGATTCAATTCAGAGCAGCTCCAAATCCAGTAAAACCAGTAATACTGCACTCGGAATTCACCAAGGAAACAAGCACCTATGAAAGGCAGTTTTCACAATCATCAGCCTAGAATGGCTTAATATTTGCACATAACCTTAAAAGAGGGATCCAGGATGTGTTTGTATCACATGAATTTTGCCTTACTAGCACATGATCGTTTCTTGAAGACGAAGTTTAATTGTTTCTATTAAATGTTTAATATTAAATGTTACTGCAATGTGAACTAAGTGCCATATCAGGGTAGTCTCATTGCATAAATGAATAATTAGTGGGATGAAAAGGAAAAGGGTTTAAGGAAAAATCTGTGTGTGAAATGTAGCAAAACTCTGACAGCTTTCTATGTACAGTATTAATAGAAGGGAAATAGTTAGAAATATTTTTGCAGCTTGTATTTAAAAAAAAATAAAGAAGGCATATAGTTGTGCATTATGAGAATCTTTTTATGTCCATTCAGTTGTCCTTTAAAGATGAGAGTAAATTTTTTGAGCAAAATAGAAGGTTTTAAATAGTAGAAGATTTTTTTAAAAAATTTAAAATATAATTACTGTATTATTCTTTAAAAGGCTTGAATAGACGTAGGAATAGGTAGTTTGCCAAGCATCATGGGAAGGATGTGTGGGTGTGGGTGTGTGTGTGCATCTGTGTTTTTTAGTCTTATTTGATAAAGAGTTGTTTCTTTAATGAAAAAAACATTTCAAAACATAGTGCTTACAATGTTTAAGAAATCCATTGGTGTTGCTGTGTAAAGATCCCACTGAAGCTTATCCAGTGTAGCTCTTTCCATTCTTAACATGTCAGCTGGAGAGTGTTTACATCTGCTCTGCATCTCTAGCATCTGCACTGATGGTATTACCTGTAAAAAAATTTTTAAAAATGAAAAAAAAATAAAGAAGCAAACATCCTATACAGTGCTGTGTGCGCTTCTCTCTATTGTGAAGGGATCTGACAAGTTTAAACAAGTTTACATTAAGCAGAACGTTCATCCAGGAGATCTCATTCCTAGGTACCTCCCATCCTGAATGAAGAGTAGTCCCTGCTCACCCCAGGGCAGCTGCTGCAAACCCAGCCCACAGCAAGAATGATGCTGTGAGCCTCCCCAGTGTGGCATCAGTGATGCACCTTCCTTGCTACCACTAGTTTTGCTCAAAGGAGTCTTCCTGTCAGCCTGTCTTACAAGGCCTGCTGTGGTTGTCTTGTTTCCTGTGGTAATTGACACAGCTTCTCCTTTGTAGATGCGAGGCAAAGAACAATAACCTCAGTGTAACACCACCTAAGAAAGGCTGTGAAGAACATTTCACTACCACAGTGTCTGTTTGAAGAGATGTGTATGTCTGATTCCAGCTCCTGGTTTTCTTCTTTTGCAAAGCAGAAGGAAGAAAAGAGGAGGAATGCAATCTGAAATGCTTTTAGCTAATGCTTGCAAATGCCTGCAGAAGTCTGTCACTGCATTTTTGCTGTGAGAGATACCCTGTGTAATTTCTCACTGGCTGCTGACTTTACTTTCTCATTTTGAGGTGCAAACCTGAGTCAGTTCCTCACTAAGTTCAAAAACCAGTTTTGGCTCCAAGCAAACTTACCTATTTGAAGCTTCCTCTGAAGAATCTCTGCTCTGTCACAGCTGCTGTGTCCTCCAGGAGCTACAGCATGGGAATTACAGCCCTCCAATGTGCATCTTGACTGTCTCCTCAGACTCAGCTCTACTGTGAGCCATGCATTCTGAAAAGAGGAGGGAGGTTTGGAGGCAGGACAGAAACACATCCATGACATAAAAAAAACCAAGTCCTTCATGCCTAAAGGTCACAATTCTTCAGAGCAACATGAAACAGGACTGAAAATGCTACTCTCACCTCTTTAGGTCTACTTAGGGTAAATAAATTAACACTTTTTCATATATCCAAGTTGTTGAAAGACCTGGAAACATGAGCAACTTTTTTAGTGTATTTAAAATGAAACATGCAGACCTCATCTTCATTGTTTTTTGCTGCAAGGACAAGGCAGGAAATGGCAATGCACTGCAGATATTTTAACTGGGCCTGAAGGGAGAAGAAGAAAACACTGAGTAAAGAAGAGTCTTGGGGGAAATAATTGTCAATCTATGATACATACACAAGTTTCAAACCTTCATTTAAGTTACAGTTGCTTCTGAATTAGTTTAGCTACCTGTCCTGGTTTAGGGCAAATTTGGGAGAGAACCTCCAAATGGGGTCGCCCCAGAAAGCAAATCCAAGCAACTCCTCCCCCCAGCTGTTTCGGGAAAAGAGATTTCCTTGGAAAGAAGTGGAAAAAACTGTTTATTTAACAGAAATTGAATAACATTAAACAATAAAACCTCTCACTGTTTGATGAAATGGCAAATCCGGGAAGAAAAGTCTTTTTCATGTGGTGTAGCTCGGCCTGCTCAGGTTCTCATCAGTCCCCCTGGCACTGGAAGGTGCCCAGGCCCAGGCCCCGGTGGGCCACAGGCGTGAGCTCCCGGGGTTTGGCTGGGTGTTCAGTCCAGAGCAGCTTTGAACAGATCCAAGGAAAAAAGAAAAAAAAAGGTCCAGGGAACTCCTCTGCCTCAGCTAAAACTAACTAAAACCAAAGAGAAGCTCTGTCCAGCTGTCTGTGCTGCAGACACCACAGTCCAGGAGTGAGATGCGTGGGAGTGATGTTTTTCCTCAACACAAACTGCGGCTTCTTCTTCTCCCCCTTCGCTCTCAGAGCCAGTCCTAACGGTGCAGAACTTAATATGTAACATAAACCAGGTGACTGGGGATACAAACATCATAAAGTCACCCCCAGAACACTACTGAAGCTGGAAATAAAACAAGGAAATTCAAAGTGAAGCAGAATAAATCCTCATATAGGTGCCATTTTTATTCATGTCTCTCACAATTTTTAGACTATGCAATGCCACAGTATATATATTGCAATGTTGCTCCTCATTTTCAGATATTGGTTCAGGTTAGCCTTCAGGAAGAATTTCTTCACAGAAGGGGGTTATTAAACATTGGAACAGGCTGCTCAGGGAGGTGGGTGAGTCACCATCCCTGGGGGTGTTCAAGAAACAACTAGATGTGGCACTTAGTACTGTGGTTTCATTGTAGGGGTGGTGATCAGTCAAATGTTGGACTTGATGATCTGAGAGGCCTTTTCCAACCTTAATGATTCTGTGATTCTATATGCCAGTATCAACCGAAATAGAACTGGGAGCTGCAAGGCTCAGCTCTACTCCCACCTTTGGTGTAGCTTCAGTGGCAGAAAAGGTCAGCCCCATAATTTAATTAAAAATAGTAGTCTAAAAACCAGAATATTAAAAATGATAATGTGAATAATTTGTTTAGCAGAGAAAACCAGATGAGTTCTTTGTACTTACCACAGCAGTTGGACTAAGTTTACACAAACAATTCTAATGAGGTCAGTGGAACCTCATCAAACACTCAAGTTCATATATGTGTGTGTCTGTGTGTGTATATACATATATATATATATATATATACACATATACATATATATATATATATATATATATATTTGCTTAATGGCCTCCCCCAGCAATGACCCTGACTGCTCCCTAAATCTGCTGCCAAACATCATCCCTGCTTTGTGTATAAATTGATTACATGTTCCTTATATTTACATTCCCAGTCAGTAATCTAGCCAGGGAAAAGCTGACAGATCTTTACTGATACCAACAGCCTGTTGAAGATGCTGGTGGCTAAAGCAAATGTTTTTGGGTAAAACTGGAACTGGGAGCTGATTTCTGCAATCCAGACAACTGCTTTTTTGTAACCTGACGCAGAGAGATTTCTGTGCCTTGAGGGGAAGTAAAAATTAAAAGATAAGTACAGTTAGTGCTTTGATGATTTTGTCAACATATTTCCAAAGGAAGACTCAAATCTTTTTATGTGCTCTAATTAGCATTTAAGATGGCTGGAGGCTTGAAATTAAGGAAGTTGTCGGCTGTGTCCACAGAGGGAGGGCAAGGGCACGTTTTGGAGCAGTTTAAAGCGCTCACTCCTGTTGCCCCACCCATCTTGCTCTGGCTATGCTAACACAGGCTTGGTACTCCGTTGTACTGGAGAACTAAGTGGGGAACAGCCAGGCCCCCCAAACTAATCTCTTACAAACAAGGTCCTGAGTGTGCTCGTTATTCCCACCCTGGGAAAGCTAAAGCTTCGATGTAGCACGTGTTCCACTCAGCCAGGCTCAACAGAGAAACTAGGCAGGAATAGGTTTTGATTTACTCTGCAAGAGTTTTAATAGCCCTTGGATTTGCTGCATGTTGGGACCAGAGCCAGGTCTGTGACTCCCCAAAGGTACATGGCAAAATGTACTGAGTTTTTTCTTTCTTATATCTTATTTGAAGCTGCATTCAGATGAAAGGGAGAACCGTGGCTGCCATGAGAATAGCACCCAGGAGCCATGGAACTCACCTGAACATTAGGAGTAGGGGAAGTAAAAAGGCCAAGCAGCTATGCAGAGCAGACAAGGCTAAACACCAGCTTGTTTACTCATCACATTATCTTTCACTATTTTGCTTAATTTGGTAGTAAAAATACTTGGAAAAAACTAGCATTTCTAGACTATTGCAAGAAAGAGACAAGGCTGATAAGGCACTTGTGCATTCTTCCATGGTTCTGATGCACTTACAGAACCAGCCAAGCAAAACTGTTTGTATTGTACACAGAGGCCATGAAGTCTTGTAGCTTCCTAAGGTAGTTTGGAATGGGGCTGGGTTTCTGTTAGGCCTCACTGAATTCCCTCTTCTCTCACCTTAACAGATGGAATTCACAGATAGTGCTGAACACAATTAATATGCCAAATTTATGGTTTTACCATTGATTGGCTGATCTTATCTGCTCTACCACATTATCCCAAACTATTTCACATTTCCCAAAACTACTTTATTTTTCTGACTGAGCCACAAGAAACTGCAAACCCCCTGTTTTATACAAGGTCTTAACAAAATGTAAAACAAATACAACAAATACATACTCTCCTCCCCCTCCTTTCCTTAAGCCTAGTCCATGAGGGATGACTTTTGCATTCAGGTGAATCAGATGGCATGGCCAGCACTGCATCTTTGCTGGGTCCTTTAGGGAATTCCAAAGAGGGGAGGATACCTTCATGGTGAGATTTTGGAATACTGGCACTTTTCAAATCCTGGCCTCTCTGGCTAAGGCATTTTCCATTTAAAAAAAAAAAAAAAAAAAAAAAAAAGGCAAGTTGTGAGCTCTCTATATGTCCAGGACAGTTCATGGCAGCTGTTTGAGACAGTTTCCTGATGGGAGCTACTGACAAAAACAAACAAACAAAATTATAAAACAACATTCCAGCTCCTTCGTACTAAGTACGATTTCCTCTTTTTGTGCCTTTCCTGCACTGAGAACTGAGGAACAGCCACAGGACTTGTTTGTCTGCAGATGGAGCAATCCCGATATACATTTTCCCTGGAAGTTCCTGATGAAAAAACACGTCAGACAGCTGAACAACACAGTCCAGCTTCTTCCCTCCTGGGCTGCGTAATGGCTTGAGAAACCTTGGGTCGAGCAGTCCAGATTATTCCATTTACCCTGTTTCACACATTTGGCTCTCCATTTGTAGAGATATTACACTGCAAGCTGTTATCACCTGATTTCAAGTTTCTGGCAAATATAGGCTTATGGTTTCCATACAAAGGCTCAGAGATGACTGTTCCTAGGAAGTTTATGAATTCCCAATTAAAAGTTTTCCTCAGAGCAGTTTAATCTTTGGCAATACCACTTTGGAAATCCCACTCTCCAAACCAAGGGGAGTATTTACAGGAAATAAACATTGCTGAATATCAGTACCAAGTGAATGAGAACATCCAGCCTGAAACTATTTCAAGGCTTATGTTTTGGTGTCTCTTAACAACAGAAAAGAGCTGTTACTAGATATAAAATCCCTACTTTCCAAAGAGTGGTGAATGTGGGCTTCCTCACCATTTTTTTCTGGAAGTTCACACCATTATCTCTAAAGTTCCATTAAAAAACCCAAAGTGATGTGAATCCTCTGGAACCTGTTCTACATTTCAAAAGCTGGAGCTCTGTGAGGTTTCCCTGAAAGCAGGAACCATGCGTAATTTTAAATTCAGCTGCCACTGGATGTCAGAGCATCCAAAGCCAAACCATTTCAGCAGAGGGAGAGCTGGCAATGATTTATCTGACTGGTTTGATGCACTGAGAAGTTTACTCTTGTGTAGCTGGGGGGGGGGGGGGGGGGGGGGGGTGGAGGGGAATAGTAATTAAAATCTCGCCCTCTGGCTAGTTTTGACTGTCCTTGATGTGATACATAGCATGAATAAATTCATGCTAAAGTTATAATCTTGTCTGACAAGAATCCTAGCATATTTCCAGGAAATTTCCCTGACGAGATTATAGTGATACGCAGCAAGACCAACATGAATATTTGTCTGCAAGGGGCATTTCCAAGAAACCTCCATCCAATAACATTGTAACGATATGCACTCATAAATATTTGGCTGTAAGAAGTGTATTTCCAAGAAACCCGATGAAATTACAACGTCTACATCCAAAACAGCATGAATATTTGTCTGCAAGAAGTGTATTCCAAAGGACCCCCGAAAAGCCTGAAAACATACAAAAAGCACCTTGGGACAGTCGCAGTTTGTGAAGCATTGTAGACAAGTGCTGTAGAAAGCCTCCTCCCTGTCTCACCCGGTGCTGTTCGCCCGGCACAGCGCCCAACTGATTTTTGCTTATGGTTTCTTTTTACGATTGTATTTTGATTATAGAATAAATTTCTTCTTTTTATTAATCAAATTGGCTAGTCATTTATAACACTTGAGAAGGACACCAAGCATCTCCCGCACCGATAGCGCTCAGAAAGTCCCTGTAGCGCTGCAGAGCTCCTGGGGGTGGATGGCTCTGGTCCTGACCCCCCTGGCTGGAGGAATTTTGGTGCCCAATCTTTGGGACACGGCTCGGCTGGAACACCCATCTCGTCTCTCGGATGCCGCGTGGGACCTGCCAGGTGAGCGCTGTCTCAGCCCGTGTGGGTCTGTCGTACCTATAAAGATCACTGTGCCAGGCAAAGCGCTCCCAGGATCGGGATGAAATTCTGCCACAGTGATAAATACTGTAACCTTCAGCACAGCCCCCAAATCCGCTTGCCCACCGATTGTTGCCTTGACAGATGTGCTGTCTCTTCTCTTCGACTTGGCCCTGTCCAAAACATACATTTGCTGGATCCACACAATCCTAGCACCTGAAAGGACCTGTTTTCCTTCCAATCACAGGAAGTATCTTTTCTCTGTGTGTTTCATGGAGCATATGCACTCTTGTCCCCTCCCAGAGCTGGACCTCTCTGCCATCTGTGCTCTCACCCCACTTTTTCTTCCACCCAGGATCTCTCCATGTCTCAAAGCCGCTCTCACCTTTCCCCTCAGACCCTGGACCCCTTTGTTTTCCTCCTGTGGCATTTTCTCTAGGAAGGTGGTTCCAATATTTTATGTTGAACCTTTTCTCATTCCTCAGCTTTTCCTGCCTACACATGACTCTCTGTTCTCTCACCAGCCCCTTGTGTTATACATTTTCTGGTACTAAATTATTAGTCTGTGAACCTGTTGTGAAAAACGAGGTTCACATATTTTTAATATAAAATTTAAAAGGTTTAATAGAGAGATAATTAGGAGATAGAAATAAATAAAATGTACAAAATATGGCCGGGTGCCTCAGCATTCAGCCAAGGGCACACCTTACTAACAGAGGATTGTCCCTTAAAAACAGAACTCTATTACATAAATTCTCATACATAATTCAAACATTCCTCTTAAGTTTTAGAAGTTTCTGTGTTTAGTCCCAACTTGCCCCCTCCCCAATAGATCAATCTTAGCACTGCTGAGTTTCACACTCCCTGATAACAGAGGTGCAGTGAATTCCTCCTATGGAGTTCTGGTCACTGCTGTCTTCATCTGGATAAGGTAATCTAAGAATGCAGGGAGGTTTCTGACTATCTTTTTTAGCCTCTGGGTTATATAAACAAAAGTAGTTTTTACTTTAATACCATACCATAGCTTAATATATATATGTATTATACCACTATTTCTAAGTTTCATCAATAACAGAAATAGAAGGAATTATATTAATACAACAAAGTTTTCTAACCTTATACATATAACATTCATTTTAATATTTGCAAAAAGCCAATAGTATAATATGTATCTATAACACTGTGCATGCAGCACAGCTCAGAGTAACACCGTGGCAGTGTGCAAAGAGACTTTGCTGAATGGCTGTTCTTCAAGCCTCCTGACTCACCTGATGATGCACACCTGGGGCTGAGGGAATGGCCCGGTCCTGGCATTACTGTGCTCCCGGCCCTGTGATACACCGGTCAGTTTGGTGGGGGTGGTCTGCAAGGTACAGATCAGCTCTGTCCACATTCCTGCTCCTGCTTACATCCCTCTGGCAAAAATACAGCACAACTGGGCTACAGCCCTTTGTTTTTGTCTGTGCTTGGTGCTGGGGATTCCTGGCCTTGCCTGGAGATCCCAGACCCCAGTGATCCACAGCAAAGGTAATGAGGGGAAGACTGGGACTGGAACAATGCCTTGTGAGCTGCCAACAAGATTTGGGTGTGCAGAAATACCTGGGGGGAAGTGAGACCAGCGTGATTCAGGGCATCAGGTACTATTCATGGACCTCTCCTGTTGAGTAAAATTGTAAAATTATTTTGTAAATTTCTATTTCTCTTAAGGACATAGATTTTGAAAGGACAAAGTCAGATTGTTGGAATAATTTAATCTAATTTCTGTAAATAAGTGACACCTGGACAGTGTGATGTTGAAATGCTGCGAGTAGGAGAGGAGCAGGTGAGGCTGTGGAGGATCCCAGCAGTATGCCATGAAACTTTACACTAAATGACAAATAACTTTGAAATGTGCCTCATTAGTGTGGGACTAACTGACTTATGTGCCCCCTGGACTATATTGCTTGTTTAAGTTACTCTGCAGTCCCTCTATTTTATCAGCAATTCAAAACGTTAAAGCCAGGAAAAGGAGATGGATTTTCTTCCTTGTGTGGAGAACAGGTTGGGGCTTGCAGCCCTCTCAGAGACCCAGAGCTGCCTCAGACCTCCTGGAGCCCTTCCAGAGCAGTGGAGTCTTGTCAGAGTCTCTGGAGCCCTGGCAAACCCACTGCAGATCCCTCAGAGCTCTGTCAAACCCACTGCAGATCCCTCAGAGCTCTGTCAAACCCACTGCAGATCCCTCAGAGCCCTGTTAAACCCACTGCAGATCCCTCAGAGCTCTGTCAAACCCACTGCAGATCCCTCAGAGCCCTCTCAAACCCACTGCAGATCCCTCAGAGCTCTGTCAAACCCACTGCAGATCCCTCAGAGCCCTCTCAGACCCACTGCAGATCCCTCAGAGCTCTGTCAAACCCACTGCAGATCCCTCAGAGCCCTATTAAACCCACTGCAGATCCCTCAGAGCCCTATTAAACCAACTGCAGATCCCTCAGAGCCCTATTAAACCCACTGCAGATCCCTCAGAGCCCTATTAAACCAACTGCAGATCCCTCAGAGCCCTGTTAAACCCACTGCAGATCCCTCAGAGCCCTGTCAAACCCACTGCAGATCCCTCAGAGCTCTCTCGCCCTGCCTGGAGCCCTGTGAACCCCTCAGACCCCCTGAGGGCTGTGTCCGGGACGCCCCGCCCGTCCCGCCGTTCCCGTGGTGACGCGGAGCCCCGCCCGCCGCCGCCTCCCCGCCGCCGCCATTGGCTGGGCTCTCTTCGGCCCCGCCTTCCCCCGCCCGCCATTGACTGCGCGGCGGCCGCAGTGCGCGGGGGTTGGCCGTGGGGTGGGGCGGGCGCAGGCGCAGAGCTGTTATTGTTCCTCGGTGCCACCGCCTGGCCCGGGCTGCTGTCGCCGCCATCGCTAGCGCCATGCCGGTGAGACTCGGGGGGGACGCGGGGTGGGGCCGCCGAGGCCATCCGGTCGCTGCACACCTCTGCCCGCCGCGCCCGAGGTTCGCAGACCCTGTCGCTCCCGTTCCCATGTGCGCGCAGGAGCTGCAGGGCGAGCGGTGCCTGTCAGGCCGAACGGGGCGGGGGTGAGGAGGGGCTGCGGGCGGCCCGAGGCCCCGCAGGAGCGGGGGATGGAGGTCCGGCCGCCCCGGAGGGTCTCGTCCTATATCTCGAGTGCTTCGTGGAGACACCCGAATCCTGCTGCTGATTTTGGCTGGCGCCTTGTGTGCCGTCCCTTCCCCACCCAGGTGGGGTTGAGCCGCTATTTGCGTTCAGCAGGTTGGCAAAAGCCAGTGCTGAGGCCTGAGAGGAATCGGGGTAGGTGGCAGCTGGAGCGAGAAGCGCTTGGAAATGGGGTTTGTTTCGGAATGACATCCAGTATAGCTGCTCTAGGAGTAGTTAAACGCTTAGCTGCAGCACCTCTAGCCCAGGGGAGTGTCTCAGGCTTAACTATATTCATTAGCCGTGCTTCGAGATTTGTTTTGGTAACTACATGAAAGAGAATGAATGTGAAGTTTTATAATACAACATTCAGGTTTTCTAAAGAATTAAACTTAAGCATGTACACTGAGGGATGTAATTAAAATGAATTCCCTTCAGCCAGCACTCACTGGTATCTGGTTGTGTGTTCTGTGAGTTTTGAGAGTGTCTAGTCAGTGTTACTGAAAAAGAATGTCATAACTGTACCGAATTCCAGCAAACTTGCTGCAGACTGCAAGGTGAAATTGTTTCTTGAAAAAATTCTTAGATTATGTTGAATGTGAAATGCTCAAGGTTTACTCATTCAGTTTCTATGTTGGCAAACAGAAACAGATCCCATTGCCTAAATGAGTGTGTTACTCTGTCAGCTTTAATTATAAGCCAGTCCTGGTTTTAAGTCCCAAAGTTCACAGTCCTGTGGAGATGTAGCTGCCCAGGCTGATTGAACAGTGTTTGTGCTTAAACACACAGTAGTTGTATAGTGGGAGACAGCAGGGCTAGATTGGATATTAGGAAGAATTTCTTCCCTGTGAGGGTGGTGAGACCGTGGCATAGGCTGGCCAGAGCAGCTGTAGTTGTCTGGTTCCTGGAAGTGTTTAAGGCCAAGCTGTAGTAACCTGGTCTAGTGGAAGGTGTTTCTGCCTATGGCAGGGGGTGGAATTTGCTTTTTGCACTCCAAAACTTTCTGTGCTTGTATATTACAGCTTGTGTATTTTTTTAAAAAATAATTATAGATTAACAAGCCTGAGAAGCTGGACAAGCCGGAAAGCTGCGACAATGTCAAGGTGGTTGTTCGCTGCCGGCCTCTCAACGACCGTGAGAAAGCTACGGGCTACAAAATGTCAGTGAATGTGGATGAGATGAGGGGAACTATAACTGTTCATAAAACAGACTCATCCAATGAGCCTCCTAAGACGTTCACATTTGACACAGTGTTTGGACCGGAGAGCAAACAGCTGGATGTCTATAATTTAACAGCAAGACCTATTATAGATTCTGTCTTAGAGGGATACAATGGTAAGTCCCTTGTAAGGGAAGGATCCCATCCTGTCTCCTATTCTTTGCTTTGTTATAGTTCCTGCTGATCTTGTTTTAGCGAGTTTCACCTTCTGAGGGCTGTAGCCCCAGATAATTTCTGTTGTAGCCTCTAACTGAAAATAGCCTGAAGGTACTTGCTGTTCTGAGTGCTGTGATTGTATTCACTACTGTCATTAACAGTGGGAGATGAAGAAGACTCCACTGAGGTCAGTTAGCTGCATGTTTTTATCCTTTATCTTCGTTTTGCAAGAGATATGCGCTTATGTTGTTATGAGAATTCTCAGCGGCTCCTCGCAGTACAATTTCAGTACCCAGAAGCTGCCACACCAGGCTGTCACTAGGTATGCATACCAGACTTCTGCACAGAGCTGCTGCATTTTTTCCTCTGAACTTTACTATTTTCAACTGAGATGACTACTTAAACACATCTGCCCTTCCCCACAGATAGTCTGTTGCTTCTTGTAGCTGGGAAGAGCATGGCCATGACTTGTGTGTGTGTGTTATGCATGGAAATGTAATATATAAAGGAAAGCTGATTACTGCTTTCCATAACAATATGCCACAAACAACAACAATTTACAAAATTTTTGTTTGTAAAATGTCTGGTAATTTCTTGTGCTAACAGACACTGGTTTCAGCTGATTAAAATTAATGGTTTGAAAATTAATGATTTAAGGCTGTGCCTGGGGAGATTTAGGCTGTACACTAGGAAGCATTTCTTTACTGAGACACTGGAACAGGCTTTCTAGAGAGGTGATTGATGCCCCAAGTTGGAATTTTAAGAGGCATTTGGACAGTGCTCTTAACAACATTCTTTAATTTTCAGTCACCACTGAATTGCTTGGGCAGTTGGATTAGATGATCATTGTAGGTCCCTTCCAGCTGAAATATTCTATTCAGTTTTTCCAGTATGTAATGTCAGTGGCTTGATAACAAAAACTTGAGTTTTCAGCAATGCTAGGCTAAATATAAGAACTGGGGTATTTTTGGAGTTCCAGAGTCTGGAATTTAAGTAATGTTTCTAGATGCCTTCCTGTACAGGCTGATTCTTTAGTCCAAATTGTAGGTGTATCTGCAGGTTTAGAGCTGGGGTTTTGCTGTGGCTCTGCTGTTGAAGCCTCACACCATTTCTGCTGTGGTCTAATAATTAGGAGTAGTTGGGTTTGCTGTTGGTGTATACTCATGTGTTCCTAATTGGCCATGTTATTAACTGGGTTTGCCTGAACTGTTTGTAAGTGGAACTGGAGTGTACTAGCAGTCCATGCTTTAGTTACTCTGCACTTTTAAAACCAGCTGACTTTTTATTAGACATTTTGCAGGCTGGAGTAAGTAGCGGATATGTCCTGTTTGCTCTGTTTGCCCAGCATTTCTGTTGCTCCAGCCTTGTACTTCAGTAGCTACTGGAGTGGGTGGAAAATTTTAACTCCATAAAAATAGAGGTGTTTGGTGCTATCAGGCTAAGAAGGGATGAAGTAAAACTGCAGTTAGAGTTTAGAGAATACTCACCTTCTTAGAGTTTGTTCTTTTATCTTATCCTTCAGGTACTATTTTTGCATATGGGCAGACTGGAACAGGCAAAACTTTCACCATGGAAGGGGTCCGAGCAGTTCCTGAGCTCAGAGGCATCATTCCAAATTCCTTTGCCCATATATTTGGTCACATTGCCAAGGCAGAGGGGGATACAAGGTAAATGCCTTCCCTTGACAGCTATTTTTTTTTTTTTTTTAATGTGAGTCCATGTATAGGAGGAGCCTGACCTTGACAGTGACAGCAGAAATGGTATTTCTCCCAAGATGAAAGGCTCCCACTTAGGCAGTTCTTGAGGGGCAGCAGGACTGTATTGGTATTTCACTGTTTTCTTTGCAATCTGTGACTGTGTTTGTGGGACTTCAGCAAAT